TTAAACTTCACTTTTTTTAAATTGAAGGTGTTAAACTTCACTTTTTTAAATTGAAGGTGTTAAACTTCACTTTTTAGGAGCTTCACAAGTTCCTCAGAAATGATGCTTTGAATTTATGAGCAACAAACGATCGGCTTGAGGAAGATGAGGCTGAAACCAGAAGAGTGGATGAAGGTGGTGAATCGAGGCGAGAGCACTTTATTATATTTTGATTTGTCTGACCCGTAATAAAAACATGTTCTTCTGTTTGTAAGAATATAACAGAAGATATTGAAGACAAACGCTCAGTCTGTGCCTGAAATCAAGTCTTTCAGGTTAATCTTACTGATTGATTAGTTGCTGATTGATTAGTTGCTGATTGATTAGTTGCTGATTGTTCTTTAAAACACTGATTGATTAGTTTTATTGAACCTTTAATGCGAGGGGCCCTGCCAGTTTAAATAAATATTCGCACCACAAAGAGTTTGAAACATGAAATGAGGAGTGCACCTCCTCCTGCACGCTCTGAAGGAGGTGCTCCTTTCATTCAGGCTGCAGACGAGGACATCAGAGGGTTTGAGGAGATTAGGGCCGGGCTGGTTGTCGTCAGAGATAAGAGTCGTCCTCTCTGGTCCTTCATCTGATCTGAAATCATCAGGAGGAGTTTGTCTTCAGGTTTCAGTTCCCTCTAAAGCAGGGGTGTCCAAAGTGAGGCACACGGGCCATTTGAGGGCCTCGGAGTTTAAATTTATGAACAGTATGACATCAGAGGTTGATGAGACAGAAATGCTCTCAAAATGTGAAATATTAATGAATCACGTTTATTTTTATTCCAGTTTCACAGTAAAAAAAAGGACAAACGTTCAATGACTTTGATCAAAAAGTCGATTTTTGAGTAACGTGTAAACGCAGGAAGAGCGTGGAGTCATCTACATACGATGTGATCAACTTCATTCGTGTCCCTTGGAACCTTCTGACAATCCGTTTCAACGAGTCGGCTTCCTCCGAGCTTCAGCCGCCGTTTAGGACGGGTCCTCCATGAAGGTCCAGAAGGTCTTCAGAGTTCTGAGTTTGGACTGAGCCCACAAAATGTGTCTGCTGCCGACCCACACGAGCATTTATATATTTATTTTATTTATTTCAACTGCTCAAAGTCACTTTCATTAAGATTTTATTGATGAGAAGACTCAAATGTATTTTCCACACAGATCAACAATCGAGACAATAAATCAAAGTAACTCACTTTTCTTTAACAACAAACACATTTGTGATTATTAATAATTATAAGAAGAAAATTAACTTTTTTTTTTTTTTTTTACAAAAATGCTATAAATAAAAGTCCTTTTTTATTAAGTAGTTGACATAAAAAGCAAACTTTTTTTTTTAATCAAATCAACTTTTGTGTCCCTCTGGTGTTTTCAACTTTTTTTAAAATTAATCATAAAAGTTGAACACGCTGCCCTGAAATGATAAAAAGAGAATTTACAGTTTTAAAACATCCTTGAGATTTTTTAAAGCAGAGAAAACAAATATGGTTCATACTTTTTAATAATTGCCAGTTTTCACAGCTCTACATTTTGTCTTTATGTTTTATTTAATCCAGAGGAAGTAATCTAATCCTAAATTAATCTGAATTTAATGAAATAAGAGTTTGCAACTAAAACAGGAAAAATATTTAAAAATAAAATAACACCTGTAATGTAAGGAACCAGAAAACAGAAAAATAAAACTTTGGAGCAACTTCTAGAGTTTTTGTTGTTTCTCAGCAGCAGGAGGAGGAACCTGTCTGTCTCTCTGTCTGTCTCTGTGTCTCTCTCTCTGTATGTCTGTCTCTCTGTCTCTTTCTCTGTCTGTCTCTCTCTCTCTGTCTGTCTCTCTCTCTGTCTGTCTCTCTCTCTGTCTGTCTCTCTCTCTCTGTCTCTCTCTCTCTCTGTCTGTCTCTCTCTCTGTCTGTCTCTCTCTCTCTGTCTCTCTCTCTCTGTCTGTCTCTCTCTCTCTGTCTGTCT